GACAACTCCAGCCTGGGAAATTCCTGGATGCTTGGGGGCAGCACCTGAAGAAGGGTGAAATTTTAGAGAGATCTCCCTGAGAATCTATGGTATATCATAGAGTTTGCCTTCTGATGCTGCCCTTTTCTCCAGGAAACCAATCTTTGTTGTCTGGAGATCAGTTGTAATTGTAGGAGAACTTCAAGCCCCACTTGAAGGGAGCCAATCTTATCTGTTGGTTTAATACCACAACATTTTCGATGGCTTCCTATTTGGATTGTCTGGACCTTGGGTGAAAAATGATATTAAATCAAGTTTGGAAAAGACTTGAAAACTGAATTAGTACTTTGGGCATGTTTATTTGAAGATTGAAGGTCAAAGAACACGGGGACGGCAAAGGATGAGATGGTTAGACAGTGTCATAGAAGCAACGAACACGAAATTGAGCCAACTTCAGAGGATGGCGGAAGACAGGAGGGCCTGGCGGGAGCTGGTCCATGGGGTCGCGAAGAGTTGGACTCAACTGTGCGACTGAACAACAACAAATTTGTTTTATGAATAGTACGGCTGCAATTAGACAAGGTGTGGAAGTTTTGTGACTAGAAGTCTTGATATCTTCCCTTTTACTGAAAAGCAGACACAATGAGGGGTTGTAAATATTTGGTCCTCTAAATTTTCCTCAGCAGGGCAAACAGCATGGGGGGGGGGACTGGGAAAATATCTGAAGGGGAGACCTGAGGCTTTCCTCGACTAGCACCACGAGGGAGGGCTATTTTTCAATACAAATTAATGACACAGGAGAGCTAGTCTTACATCTTCTCAGCTTCATTCAGTTATGCCCTCCACTTGCCAATTTCTAGGCAGGGATCTTTTGCTAAACTGTAAAAAATAAAACATGCAATCCCACACAGTAGGGTTTAACTCACCGAAAAGGCAGGAGGAGAAAATAGCGAAACAGAACCCCAAAGAACCATACTAAGGTCAGCTTCCAGTTGAGGTACTGGTAGTTTATGCTGGTTCTGGTGAGAAGGTTCCAAGAGACAGGCTCTTCTGAGGTAAATCTTTGGGTGACTTGATCCTCAACAATGGCTTCAAGTCCCTTCTTGGAGAAATAAAAGATGTCAGAAAACTCAAAGCCCTCTTGTCTCTGGCTTGCAATTGCCTCCTTCATGGTGATTTCACCTCTTTGTATGATACCTTCAAAATAAAAAATGGAACTGTATAAGTTTGACAACACCAATTTAAAACACACCCTTCCTTTTCCCACATAGACAAGAATCTTCCTTATAGGATTTTTCCCTGTATGTCTAATGTTAGACATTCTCCTAGGTTTGCCAAGAGCCTGGAGGGGAAAAAACTGTCTTGACCCTTTAATAGAGGATTAGTGCATGGAAAGGTGCAGTTGAAGCTTTTCATAGCATGGAGGTAAATAATATCACCTGCCAAATGACATCCCATTAGGCCTCTATTACATGGGCAGGACATTTACATTACTTATGGCTTAGTCTGAGCGATAAGTAGAACCTGATCTGAAACTACTATAGATTCCAGTATCCTGGAATTTTAATAAAACATGAAACTGACTTCTGAATATTACATTCCTCCTATCATGTCACAAAAAAAATCTTACATTAGCTACTTTAGTGTAGCTAAAACATATATCAAACAACCCGTTATCATACATGTAACTGTTTAGAAATCCAAATATTATCTTTGCAGGAAAATATCCAGAATGCTATGTCATAAGGCCATCTTTGAAACATTCTGGGTATTTTCCATTTGTCTGCTGTGGACATCTCAAGGCCTTCATACCACTTGGGGAATGGTGTGAGACACAGAGCGGTATCGTTTGTTGTACCTGTACCCATTATTTCTTGCCCACACAGGAATAATTTTTTTTTGGTGTTTTTGTTGTATTTGTTATAACTTTTATTTTTAGGGTTTTTACAGTTAAAAAAAAACACAACTTACATTAATTTTACAACATATTCTTTGGAGAATCTTTATACATTTGTTTCCAACCACCTATCTAGTTTATGCCATCTTTTTTTAAATAAACTTTCCTCTTTGGCCAACAGTATCAAATAAACTTTCCTGTTTGGCCAACAGAGGGGAAAGAAGAGATTAAATAACTGAGTAGAATTAAGGACATATATACAGAAATCTAGGATGCTTGTTTACTGCCGTTTGTGTCGTTTCTACGTACTTTAGGGAATAAGAGCGGGAACTCTCTCAGTCCCGAAGAAGTGTGGCGAGGCGACGACGCGATCGGAGAAGGGAGGCGGAGCGTTCTGGATGACGAGCGGCACCTGTGCGGGCGTGCAGAGCGTGCGAAGGCGAGGGAGGGGCCTGGGAGCGGAGCGGAGAGGAACGGCTCAGCGCAGAGAGTGGCTGAGCGGCAGGAGTGATGGTGCAATCGAGAGAGGTGGAGAAAGGGGAGGAGTTACAACGTGACCTAAGAAGGCGGCTCTGGGCGCCGTACACTACGCATAAGACGAGAGCGACGTGGCAGAAGGGAGGAGGCAGCGGAAGAGGAGCGGGCCAAGCAAAAAGGGGAGGAGTGGCAACGCACATGAAGGAGAATACTCTGGGCGACGTACACGAGGCTCAAGACCAGAGTGACGTAAAGGAAGGGAGGAGGCAGTAGAGAAGGACAAGGACGAACGGCTTGGACAGCAAAAGAAAAAAAAGAAAGGGGAGGAGGCGTTAGGCAAGGAGGGATTGAGAGACCAATAGAAAGAGTATACGAAATAGTAAGTTTGAGAACACGAAATAAATAAAACGTATAAAAATAAAACAATAAAAGATTAAAAAAAGACACACCACAATAGTAAGTGGAAAACACGGTCAACAAAGAGAGACAATCGCATCTCCACACAGTAAGAGTTAAGGAAAATAGGACATAACTGAAGGAAGAGAAGAAATTAAAGTGAATAAAAATTGTTGATAAAATGGCCATGGGATCATGGAAAAGAGTCTTTACACCCCCAGGTCAAGCTGGGCTGTCACAACTGAAAGCAGGAATAGCGCAAGTGACAATGAATGATCTGCAGGCAATGATGCAGAATTGCCTAACTCAAGCCTCTGAACATACAGCAGAGCTTATAAAAAAAGAGCTAGTCCCAATGCAAAATAAAATGGAGGAGATCTCGTTACAAATTAAAACAGAAACGGAAGAGATAAAAAGTGAGATTGCTAAAATAGTACAAAATACAAGAGATCTAGAAGATAAGGTAGAGGATCTTGACCAGGAAGTACAAGACATAAAATCAAAAGCAGAGAAAATAGAAGACACAGTGATAGGCCTAGAAATGGAAACTGCAGGAACAATACTAAGATTTCAGAACATACCAGAGCAAATTAATCAAAATTTAAGAGAAGAACTGATATGTAAGATAGCTGAACAGTTTAAGATAGAGGATGTAAAGGAATTAGCAGACGATATTGATACAGTCTACAGGAAAAACTCTGCGTATACCAAAAAGCATAAACTACCCAGAGAAGTCCAGATGAAATTTATTAAAAAAGCAAGAAGGGACCAAATTCTCTACAAAGCAAATACAAATAAGCTAATAATAGAGGGAGAAGAAATAAGGATTTTGAAGGATATACCATGGAGAGTTAGGGAAAAGCGACGTACCTATGAGGTATTAACGTGACTATTGATCCAAAATCAAATTCAGTATAGGTGGCTAATACCCAAAGGTGTGCTGTTCACGTACAAAACAAGACGATACAAAATAGATACAATCTTCAAATTAGAAAATTTTCTGGATAAAGAGGGACAGGACTTAGGATGGGAAAAAGGATACGGAAAAAGAAGAGAAAAAGGAGGGAACGGAAAAGAAGAGGATGATGAAGACGAAGAAGAGGAAGAAGAGGATAAGGAGGAAGAAGAGGGAGAACTGCAAAGCTCAGCGTTACTAAAACACCCCAACAAAGGATCAAAAAGGGAAACAATGGAAAAGAAAAAACAATTACTTAGGTTCAAAACCGAATCGCAAATACGTACGAGATTACAACTGAAAAACAAGATGGCAACTAAAAACTTTAAATTGATATCAGTTAACGTGAATGGACTGAATAATCCGCAAAAAAGACAAAAAATCTTTCATCAATTAGTAAAAATGCATGTAGATATTACCTGCCTCCAGGAAACCCATATAAAAGAAGAACACGCAAAATATATAGAATTCAAAAAACTAGGTACGCCTTTCATAGCAGCAGATAAAGTAAAAAAAAGGGGAGTTGTGACGTATGTTAATGAAAAGCTACATCCAACGCTTAAATATAAATCGAAGGATGGAAGGATTGTGATAGTAACAATTAGAAAGAACGCAAAAGAAGTGTGGATCGTAAACATCTACGCCCCTAACCAAAAGCAAGAATTTTTTTTCAAGGAACTTAAAGATGTACTAGCGAGGGAGAACCCAGAAAATATTTGTATAGTAGGTGACTTTAACGCAGTCCTGGACCCAAAAGAAGATAGGAAAAAGATAAATAAAAACATGAAATTGGGTCCAGGGTTGCCAAACAATTATCTAAAAATAGCGGAAAAATTTAATCTGATAGATAGTTGGAGGACAAAAAATCCCCAAAAAAGAGACTTCACTTACTTTTCTCATAGACACAGAACGGGGTCCCAAATAGATATGATATGGGTAGACTTAAATATGGCAAAGGAATTACTGGAAGCAGAAATTCTACCAGGTACCTTTGCGGACCACAATCCAGTGCTGATAACGCTAAAAGAAAATGGCAGATCCCCCAAATGGAGAATAAACTCTGGCTTACTACGAGATAAAAAATTTGTGGGGAGAAAAAAGGTAGAAATAAAGGAATTTCTAAAGGTAAACAAAACAGAAAAAATGTCATTGAGCACAATCTGGGACACATTGAAAGCATACTTGAGAGGACTTTTCATTACTCAAGAAATATGGAAGAGGAAACCAAAAAAAGAGAATCTCAAAAAATTGACAATGGAATTGAAAAAAGAAGAAGATATAGCAAAAAAAAAGGGAGGGCCAAAAGAGACAATGATCAAACTAAAATTGATACAACAACAAATAAACATGCTTTTAACACAGGAACTGGCGAATAAAATAGAATACACAAAAGCGTACTATTTCGAGAATGCAAACAAACCTACAAGGTGGCTTGCATACAAACTCAAGAAAGAAAAGGAGAAAAGGACAATCTTAGCCATAAAAAATGAAAATCAAGAGACAAAGTTTAATAAGCAAGATTTGAAAGACATTGCCGAAAAATTCTACAGAGACCTATACAAGCTTGTACCATGCTCACAGTTAGATTTAGAAAATTTCTTTGAAAAACATAATAGAGGAAAATTTACGGAAGAACAGAAAAGAAGGTTAAACGAGAAAATTTCAATGTGCGAGGTAACAGAAGCCCTCAAAAAACAGAAGGAGAAGAAATCTCCCGGGCCAGATGGAATACCAGCAGAGCTTTTTCACAAATTTGAAGAGGAAATAGTGCCCACTTTTAAAGAGCTACTAGATGAGATCATGAATACAGGAGAGATACCCCAAACGTGGAAGGAAGCATTAATAACCCTAATACATAAACCCAACACAGAAGAAGTGGAAATTAAAAATTATAGACCTATTTCAATGTTAAATGTTGACTATAAAATTTTTGCTACAATTTTGGTGGCAAGATTTAAGAAAGTAATGGTGGAAGTAATACACGAGGATCAATCTGGCTTTATCCCTAAAAGACAGATTAAAAATAATATAAGAACTATTATAAACACGTTGGAGTATTATGAACAAAACCCGGGAAAAATAAGCAGCGTTAATGTTCTTAGAT